GTCTGAGGCCACCGTGGGGCAGCAGGTCCTGCCCCCCAGCACCCCTCTCCTCACTGCACACCTGGATCTGACCCCCCACCCCCACACATGGCTCCACCTGGGGATGTTGCGGCCAATTTGGGTCAGAACCCCCCCCAAGCTTGAACCCCTGGGCACCACCAGGGTCCTGCCCTACACAGGGCAAGCCCCTCTCCCTTGCCCCTGTGGTAGGGGGCTGCTGGGAGGACTGGTGTGCCCCAGGGCAGAGCTTGGCTCCTCCACCTTTGCAGTGGAGCAGAGCTGTGTGGGAGGCACCTTTTAGATTTTTCAAAGAAGGGCTTTCTGCAGACATTCAAGTGATCCCAGACCTCTACCTCCAACCACACTGGTGGGAGTTGGGGCAGGAGAGGATTTGGTACTTGTCAGAGCAGCACGTGCAGCGGCACAGCCTCAAAACTGCAGATTATTACCGAGCTCAGGAGCTCCTCCTCCCTCCAAGCTCCCATGACCAGAACCATGCACTTTATAAGTCAGTTTTACTGGTAAGGAAGGAGCAAAGTGGTTCCCAGCCCGTCCCCTGAGGGATGTGCCAGTAGAGGAGTACCACGGGGTGGCAGCAGGGCCCAGGGCATGCAGAGGGACCCTGCAGGGCACCCACCAGCCCAGGGAAGGAGGGGGGCAGCTCCAGCCTCCAGAAGGGCTAAAAACTTGGTATTTCAGAAGCCAGAACTAGAACTCACCATTGTTTCAGGTCTTCTCTCTCTACCCCGCACCTGGAGCAAGGACAGGAGGGGAAAGCCACAGCCAGCGCTGGAGCACAAAGCTGGGGCAGAGGTGTTCCCAGCAGCACAGCCAATCCTGATTTTAAACCAGATTTAGGATTTAATGCCCCATTGAAGAGGGAGGAGAACCAAGCAGCCCTTTCATTTCATCAGAGGGGAAGGAGGGAAAAAAAGGAGACATAAACTTAAAGATTATTTATTCACACAAACTTGTATCCCAGCCTCTCTCCCCCAAGACAGAAAACACTGACCATGACGTTTATGGAATGGCTTGGCGTCAGCTTTTAACAAAACAAAACGAAAAAAAAAATCCTCCAGAGAAGGGCGAGAGCACACCAAAGCACACAAGGACAAGTCCACACACAAGCAGCCAGGCCAGGAAGAGAGCTCACAGCATGCCTCCGGGGCACAGCTTCGAAATTACACCCTTCTTGTGCGGCCTTCAAAGAAAGCCAGCGAGGTGACATCCACGTGGCACAAAGACAAGAGCACAACCTCCTTCTCCAACACTACAAGGGGCAGGGTTGAAACATGAGGTACCACTGGCCCCATCCCTCCATCCTGGGAAAGACCCCTGATGGGGACAGCATCCCACCGCCACTGGCGGAGCCGCCATCCACGCCTGCCCCCGCACACAACCCCCTTTGGTTTGGATCCAGCTGTTAGCTTGGTGTCTCAAGGCTTGAGATCATCTCTTTGGAAAGGTGAGAAGGAAGAAGGGGGACAGTCACGTGCCTGCTCCTTACCTGTCCTTGGGCTGAAGGCGTGAGTTTTTTTTCTTTTTTTTTGGCTCTTTGGACCGTCACAACCATCGCACCGCAGGCAGGTAAGGAACCGGTCCCCCAGAGCGGAGGTATTGCTCTGAACACTCGGTTGACCCTCTGAAACCATCGCAGCGCTACGGGAGGCCCACCTAAGGCTCCATTCCTTTCCAAATAAGCAGCCCCAGCTGGGTGAAGTTCACCTGAATGCCCCATTTATTGAACGCTGTGATAGTGCAGTGGTAACATTGAACAGAGTTAAGACTCCTTAAAACAAAAGCTGGAAGAGCAGGAAGTTTTTTTTTTTAAAAAAAAAAAAGATTAGACCAGTTAAAACAGCATCGGTCGCCCCAAAGCGGAGACGCACGGGGGTTTTAATGTAGTGTTAAAGGTTAAACTCGAGCATGTCTCCTCCGTGTGCCTAACACCCAAAACGTGCCTCCTACTTAAGAGTCTGAGTGAAAAAGAAAAAGATGGTCTGTCAGATGAGTGCACAGTGGGTGACAGGGAAAGGATCGACACAGGTTTACACAAGTCAAGGGGTTGATACTGCACCTACCGCTGCGCTCTCCTGCGCGCGGCCCGGGCACCGGGCGCCCCTAGGCTAACACACCACACGGCTGCACGTCAAGAGCTCCTATGGCAGTTCAGAAACATCTTCCGTTTACTATTTGGTGATTACATGTGTGTATATATAAGTTCTCTAGGCAACACATTTCAATGAGATAGTCAACTCTGAGGATACACAGGCCAATCTAACAATGAGAAATGCAGTTTCAGTCCAACAGAAGCTTGTTTTCCCTTTCCTCAAGAAAGGAGATGTAACCCTCTCTCCCCTCAACGGCATTTTCAGGTCACACAGGAGTCCCCCGCTGCAGCTATTCTTCATCAGAGGAAGAGTTCTGATCCAGGGGGTACACCATGAACATCACGTCTGGCCGCGACGGGACAGAGGGGTGACCAGGCCTCACGATTTCAAAGCCCAAGAAGCTGAATGTCTTCAGGAGTGGAGCTACCAAAGAGAAGGAAATCTGTTACCACCAGGAATAATCCTCTTTCCACAAATATCACCCTCTGAGCACACCCAGAGCTTCCTGAGCAGAAAGAAATCATTTGAACACAACATTCCTCTCGGATAGGAGGTCTTGTCTCCTGCGTTCATCACAGCTGCTCCTAAGCATGAAGGGGATTCTAGAGCTGTTTTATCTGGTGACATCCGTTCCGTCCCCTCCCAGAAGCAGCGAAGGTTGGTTATCTGCCTTCACAGCCCCACTTTGCCAGGATGCACGTGGCCATCCCACAACATGTCAAAGTTTTTGGTCTTTACTTTGGTGGGTCCCGGCACCCTCTGAGCCCTAAAAGTGGGTCAGACAGCAGTAAACGGGCACCTGCTCACTCAGGAGCTGGGCAGAAATTTGCTGTCCCTGTAAGGAAGACCTGGAGTTCAGTGGAAACTCAAGACCCAGGAAAGCCAAGATCCAGGAAAGACTGTCTACAGTGATCGCTTCCCTTGAGCCATGACAGTTACCCTGGCGCAGCACCTGATCTCTACAGCACCCTCCGACGATCAGCTTCAAGCCACGGAACGCTCCTGCAGAGATGCTCCTATATATTTTCAAGACTGCACCGAATTTCAACAGCATAGACAAGGACCCAGATTCCAGAGTGCTCCAGAACTCACACAAATAAGCCAGGTCCAAGAGCAACGCATCGCTCATTTTTAAAAACAAAACCCAGTATCAGATGTCTCTCGTGACCAGCCACCGCAGGGGTCACCTGTGCACCCTGTGCTTAGGTTTAGAAAATTATTCTTGGCATCATAACACGGAATGACATCTTCCTGGGCTCAGCACGGCTTAGCTCTAATAATGTGCTTCGTTTCAGAGAGGACAGCGCAGCTTGTGAAGCAGCAGAGTAAAATTAGAATTCGGGTTTGAATTACTCCTGCCATGGCAATCACCTGGTTATGAGCCTGCGGCTAGTAAGATTTAAAGTGGCACATCCACAGCTTGGTACCTCACCACAAATCTCCTTAGACTTCCGTGCTGTAATCACTCATCTGACACGTCTATCTTTAGATCCTCACGCAGCCCCCTTAAGCCGTAAGTGTCTGTAGCCAGGGTCAGGATTACCCCTAAGTCTAGGAAGGGCAAGAGTGCCCGGAGATCTTTAAAAAGCAGATGAACATCAGGGCAACAAGCTACAGGAGCTCATTTCTCATGTAATAACCTCTCCCTGGTTTCTCCTTCCAAATCACAGAAGCCTGGTGCCAACTGGAAACCTTCACTGCTTAACAAAGGAGAAATATTAACTGATTTCTGGACAGGAAAATACTCCAAGTTGCTCAGAAGCAGCTTTTTGCATGAGACCACTACTAATAATCTAGCTGCAGGACAGTCAAATATACGTGCTGGAGAAACCAGAATATTCCCTCTCCCTTAGTCTTAAGAAAGGGCTTATTTCTTCCATGAGAAACTAGTTCTACTTTTCTACAACATGAAAATTATGCGTGTAACATTTACTGTGACAGGAAGCATCCCGTGGAGCCTTGCCTTGGGAATTACCAGACTTTTCTACAGCTTCAGCAGCATTGTTTTTAGATGTAGGGAGCAAACCTGAAAGTGGGGGCGAATTCTCACCTCTATCTTCTCTGCTTTTTCTGAAGCAAATAAAGACGTAGTTTACTTTCATTTTTTCTTCAGCAAACTCCAACAGTGCTGATAACCTGCCAAGGAGGAAGAAGACAAAAGAACATCAGCGATAGGAAGTCCTGTCCTGAGGAAGCCTCTGAGGAGTATCAACTGTTTGGATGTTTTCGGGCAGTAAGATTAGTTGTTTACAGAGCCCTTCCAGCAGACAATGGTGCTGAAACAATGGGCTTCCTGCTGTTAGAGCCAGCCCTGCAGAACCAAGAGCGATCCTTACACCAGGTCACCCAACAAGTCACTGTCCTCAGCACCCGCGTGCCAGCGTGCACAAACACCCGTCCCCACCAGCCAAGGGTTTTGTACAGACGCCTTCGTATGTGGGAAGCTGAATATTGCAGCTGATCCTGAGCCAGGCTACATCCCCTCTGCTGGCAACAGACACCAACGGGATCTGCAGGTTTTGTGCTTTATGGGAGGGAAGGAAAAAAAAAAAAAAAAAGCTGCTCATGCCAGGCAGAAGAGAAAAACATCACTGAAGGAGCATGTGCAGAGGCAAAGCTGTTTCCTGAACACATCAGCTGGATGCCACAGCTGATGCACCCCGGATCCATACTTCCTGCCTTTCCAGAGAAATTATTTCTTCCACCTCTCGATGGAAGCAGCACTGCATTAACCCCTCTCTGAGCCCCCGGGACCGGCACAGCGGAGCCATCACTGTCACTGCTGGCCTTGTAACCATTTCCGACGCAGGCTGCTAGAGCGGTGACAAACAGGGCTTCAATCGCCATCTCATTAAACAGCAGTCAGCGAGAGCAGCGCGCAGCGAGGGAGATTACATTTGCAAGGATTTTGTTAATATGGTAATGAACTATTTTAATTAGAGCCTCTACTAGGCTGTTTTACCTAGCTAAAAATAATCTGGACAAAATTGCACTTTAAGTCATGATGACACAGGCGGGTACATACCCTCCCAGAAGTACCCGCTCCCAAGAGAGCGGGTGCTTGGGCAGCTGAAGGATTTATGGGCCAACGGAAGAAATTACACAAACATTTATCTGGACTTGGATTCAAATGTGAGACAGCAAGAACACTGGCACTTACTGAAGGTGCACAATGAGGTTTTTTTTCCTCATTTAGGTTGTGTCATTTACGGGTGAAGCCTCCTTGGAAGTTTAGGAGGACTTCAGAGAGCTCGGCAGAGGCATCCAGCACAGCCACATTTTTGCTACAGTGCTCCCCGCCAGCGGAGATCTCTGGCAAAGCACTTGGCAGGAAGTAGCTGCTCTGGAAGCTGCGTTTACACAAACTTCCCAGAGCAGAGCTGTCTGGACAAAACACTACCGGATTCTGCCAACAGAGAAAAATCAGAGACTCTGGCAGAGCCCAGCGCCTGTGCGGCTGTGCTCCAAGCACAGATCCACCTACTGATGAGAAGGAGCACATCGATATAATGGAGGGGTTTTTTCCCCCTCAAAGACAGGAAAACACCTGCCAAAGTAAGCTTGTTAAGTGTCCAGCAGGACAAAAATCAGAGAAAGGCTTGCAGATTTTCCATACCAAAGTATGCAAAGAATCACTCCAATCATTTATTGATTATTTTTTTCATTAGCACAGGGACTCAAAAAACAGTAACCCACCTGAAATGATCACTACGGGGGAAAAATACATATGGAGGATGGTCTTCTGAAGACAAAGGACTAAGGACATACTTCAGACACCAAACCAGGAACAGAGCTGCCCTACATACAGCCCCTTCTCCCCCCACACACAGCACTGCCCACGTAAGCAAAGTCCTGCTCCCTGGGAAGCCACAGACACAGCTCTGGGATCCCAAACTTACCCTTCTTTGCTTCCATCAGCTAATAATCCGTCAGGGATTTCCACAAAGAGGCTCTGATTAGAGAGCACTGCATCCCAGGAGGAGGTTTTCACCTCTGTGACCTTGTACTGGAAGTGGACAATGTGCGGCTTCCCTTCGTGCACTGGGACATCTTGGTTAACAGTGATCTTCTCGTCCTGCACAGAGGGAGGAGAGCTCATGAAATACGCTTTAGGGTTCAAGAAAACTATCTGTAAGACTGTAGACTAAAAAAAAAAAAAAAAAAAAAAGGAAGAGACCATACTTAAGTGAGTAAAGGGACTATTTTCAGTGGGAGCGCCACTTACAGACTGGTGTGTGTCCAGAATTTCAGCTTATCAGTAAAATTCATCACCATGAGACTTGCCATGGCCCGTGAAGCTATGCACAGTCAGCTGCAAGCTCACACCCGAGTCTCAGTCTCACTTGTTCAGAGGACAAGTGTGTAAGTGGTTAAGAGCTACTGAACTACCCGTAATACCTTGCTTTTATTCTAACTTAACAAAAAAATAAAGAACAACAAAGTCAAGTAATACTCCCCTTGCTGTTTATGATGGGAGAGATGCAAATGCCAACTCAATTGTATTATATTAAGAACATCATTAGACTTTTCCCTTCCCCTTTCACTGGCTCAGGGACACACCACAGTGAGTACTCCCACCTCAGAGGAATTTTCTAGTCGTCGTTTTCCTGTTCAGCGGAATGCAGTTGTGGATATTCACATTATATTAAATTTCTGGGTAGTGGGAGTCCCTTAATTCACCGCAGGTCCCAGCCACATCTTTGAAGGGCGGTTCACGAACTACCCTTCAAAGAACACAACTTGAACCGACAAGCTGGAAGAGCATCTGCTGCCACAGTCTGACCCATTTCGTTGTCTCCCCAGTCCCCAACATGGTCTTTTTGTTTAAGGGATGACCACAAATTGCATTCCCAGATTTTACAACCAACTGGTATGGCAAATGATTTGCCTCTTGGTTTGGGGGGAGGAAAAACGTAGCACAGAGAGAATCCCAAACCAGACAGACTCTACGCAGATTTGAAGATTGTGACAAGGTCCTTTCCAGAGACCACAAACGCACACGTCCCTCTCCAGTACTGCTTTAACTAGAACGCCAAGCATGCAGACCGCCTCAGATTCAGCTTGGCAGTTCCTAGAAAACAATTTTGTGGTTCAACTCCATTCCTCCTCCTGACAATTTCTGCAGGCAGTTGGCTTGCACAATAACGATTTCCACATTTCACTGCAAAAAGCCTCAATGAAACGACAAAGAAATTCATGAGGTTCCCGAGTTAATGTTGTCAACTGCAGCAGCAGCTGAACTGTTCCCTTCTGCTTGGTTACAGGCTCATGCGTACGGACTCTCTCACATTTACAACGTCACCTGCCCGGTAAGGTGGCGGAAGACTCCTCCATATTTTCTTGGAGGTGTTTTAAGCTATTAAGGTAAAAGCATCGCTGAAAGACCAGTGGTTCAGCAAAAACATCTCCAAGAACTTTTCCAGGCTCTTCAAGCCTGTGTCCCAGTGCTTTAATTCCTATTAGCACATGTATTAAACTAGTTTCTTCTTGGTTTGACTGTTACGACAAGGAAGAAGCCATCGAGTATGTTAATGCTGGCAACAAAGTTAACGCCACATGCAAATCAGGAACTGCCTGGCTTTGGCAACCGGAGCAGAGGAAGCTGCCGTTTGTTTAAAGCCCACAAAGCTTAGCTGAAAAACAACTTTACACTTTATCAGAATAAATATCCTGTAGGAAATAAGTTTATTCATCGAGTTTGAAAGAAGTTTTCGCGGCTGCGCCTGCTGTCAGATTTTACTAGTTTGAAGCCAAGAGCACTAAGAAACCTACTGACAGCTGCTCAAGCTAAATCAGAATGTTGCTGATAAAGTCACCACAGAGCCAGCAGCAAGAGTCAGATTTGAGCCCAGCAAGAGCTCTTCAATACAGAGGTGTATTTAAAAGAAAAAACAAAACACAAAACCAAGGGGATTATATGCACATCCTTCACCAGTGACCTTATAGGAGTTTTTTTACAGTGGCTGTTACTGTGCAGAAAGCATCTCTGTTTCAGAAGAGATCCTTCTCTCAAGACAAGCTCACAGATGCTTCTTTTCTTCTACTTCATGAAAACAAAAACAGGGTGAGGAAGTTGAGAAAAGCAGGCTGGGATTGACACATTGGAGGGGGAGACACACGCAGGCATTTGTGCAAGAAGACTGGCAGGAGCCTGCAACACAAGGGGAAAAGCTCTCCAAGCCTTCTGGCTCAGCCCTTCCCTCACCAGAAGTTATGCCCTGCACTCTGAACCTAGCGAGGTTTTTTTTTCCCACTTAAAAGCCTCCTAATGCAACAGCCCATAAACCAAAGGCAGCACAACCCCAGGGACTAAGAGAACCAGTTCCCCCGGTTCAGTGGTAATTACATTTATACAGCCTGTCTTGGGCAGCTGATATTTGATTTCTAGGCATCAAAACAGAGATAGTGAGATACTGGGGAGAGACGCTGTCCCTGTGAAGCAGCAGCCCAGAATTCTTTGATAGCTGCTTATAGCAAAATCCTGTTTACACAACAAACGTTCGGTTTTAGTTCACCCCTGCACACCGCCCCCCGCTACGCTATTGTGGGCAAAAAAAACCTCACCAGCCTATCTTTTATACACAGCTGCCTAAACCACCGGCTCTCCAGCCCTCAGCTCCATTTCGGTGAAGTAAGGCCGCAAGGACGAGCTTCCACTTGGTTACAATTCATTGAGCACAACATTTTCCAACCCAGCTACGCTCCTCAGATGTCCCGAGAAGGACGGGGGGAGGTCCCTACGTGTTGGCAGCGTAAGAAGAAAGGATGTTATGATCTTCCATAGCCAAGTGACTGGAGAAACCCATGTAAGCAGCCTACTGTTGGCATGTGCTACACCTGCAGCCTCCTGCCAAGTTTGCTAGCCAGAGCACGTCCGCTCGCACAAAGTCCGGCCCGGCTGCGCAGCATCGGTGCCGATGGCTGTTGCGTAAAGCTCCAGTAAAGCTCCCTTGGTGAAGGGCCCAGTATTAAGTCTCTTAACACAAAAAATACCAACAACTACAGGGAGCCCCAGCTGCTTAATTTATAGCGCTGTTGTGTACGAGCACTGCGCTGCGTGCTCCGAAGGAGGCCAGCTCGTTCAGAAAGGTCATCCCTTGAACGAGAACAGCTGATACAGCTGGAAAAAGTACTTAAGCTTTTGGGTCCAGATGCCTTTCCAGGTCATGCCAAAGCTTGCTGTCTGAAAAGCTCAGCCTGCTGTTAACAACAGCACTGCTAACTTGAATGGGCAACGGAGAGGGGCAGAGACCCGTAACCCCCATCTGCAGTTCGACTTTAAACTGCTGGGCGACATACCTCGCTCTGCTCTGGGATAAGCCGTGTTACAGAAGGGGCTGATCTTCTGACAGGTTCTGCTAGGTTTTGTCAGCAATAAACCCCGAAAGATTTATATCCTTATTTCTGGGATGTGGCTATCTTGATGACATCCCCGCAGGCAGCAAACACAAGCTGCCAAAAGCTTCTGTGCTAATCGGAGGCCATACTGAAATCAAACACTCCAAAATCTCCAAACTGTGATCCTTCCACCAGCATCCCTTCCACACTGCGCCCATCTTCTGCCTTTGGACCCTGCCCGGTGCGTTCATGAGGCTCAGCAAAGCTGGCCTGCAGGAGCTGAAGTTGCAGGATTCCCTATTTCTCATCCCCTCCCATCCAGAGGGAATTCATTATTTGTCCTGAGCCCTCTTGAAGCTAAATCTATGTCTCTTCTTCATCTGACAGAAAGCCAATTGTGCTCCTTGCCACCTCTCTGGATTTCATACCCCTCAGTGACAATTCAATAGCATTAAGCCGATGTTATGTTATTAAGAGGGTACAGAGGGTGACATTTATTCACAAGGTAAGTGGGTGAGGCACATGCTAAAAATTCACCAAGGCTGCATTAAAGAAAACTCCTCTGAAAGCAGCCGTGAGGTCTGCGATTCTCTCACGAATTTCAAGAGGAGACTCTGGTAGCTGTGACCCAAAAAGGCCCGTATCATTTCATCACATCAAGTCTGTGTGCCTCCCACAGGGTAATTAAAAATCAGGTCTAACACCTATGACAACACTCCTGTCTGAACAGCCAAATTTGCAAGATTAGCATAAATTTCAGATACCTCCTCTGATAGCACTTCACTCCCTGGCTTGTGGAAAAACAGTCCCTGTCCCCGAAGGGAGACAGATGTGTGCCACTGTAACACAACACGAAGTTGAACAAGTGACAATTATTCTCCAGCGAGGAACAGCCAGGTCTCCTCACTCAGAAGACAAGGTCCCGTAGAATGAAGAGGGACAAAAATCGAGCACTACGCACATCCACGTGCTCCTCAGCAAATCTGCAGACACAAAGCCTTCCTGATCTCCCCTCATTCTATGCAGATGTTCTAGAAACGTTCCAGTCTGCGAGGTGGACGGCTGCCTTGCCCTTTTGTGAAGGCAGGAGTTACTCTGTACATCAGTTCAGGCAGCTCCCTGGCCCTGACAACTTTACCTTCCGGACTAGGGCACAGGAAAGAGCTTATCAACCATTCACTCTCTGCATTTCACCTTTCTGCTTCCTCTTTTTGTGAGACATTTAAGAAGTTGTTTCATATTTTGATAAAGCTGGCTCCGCATACAATAACTGAAACAGGCCTTTGGGAATAGGGCTAGAGAATTATTTGCTGCACACCTTTGAGAAAAGGTCTCTCATTTCTTAACAAACAGGTGACATTTAAGCACGAGCTCAGTGATCTGCCAAGAGGGTCGCTGAAAAATTAACTGTTCTCCCACTTATTAGCTTGGAATTACTGGCATTTCTTCCTATCAGACTGCAAAAGGAACCAAACACAGTTGCAACAGAGGTACAGGTCATTATTTAGACATCAGATCTTGCTCACCTTATATATCAGAGCTGAAAGAGAAGGATCCCTGCTACCCCCTCGCCCACCGGGGATCTTCGACAGTGGGTGAGGGGCATCAGGAGCACCACAGAGGCCCTGGAACAATGTGCCTGCAGCACTGCAGCTGGGGACAGTTACTCAAAGGTAAAATACTACTGCAAGAGAAAAAGAGAGAAAACACCAGGTTACATTAGCAGGGATCACATTTCAGATGCTAACAGCTCCTCATGACCCCAAACCACTGTACCCCTGCTCCTCCACAGCACACCAGAGGCAGCTATCAGGGCTTTGGCGCCCGGAACATCGACATTAAAAACACTCACTGCCCAAGTTCTATCAGAACCCAGTGGTGTTTTGTTAGAAATGGAGGAGGAGCTTTGCAGCCAAGAGCCCGGAGAGAGTGCTGAGCAACCTCATGCTAATAAGGGACGCCTGGAAGAATGCCAATAGCAGATGGCTGGAAACGCATGACCAGATGAACACACATTTTCTCTAGACAAATATCTACAAATAGATCAACAGGACCCAGAAGGAGGAGGTTTTAAGTTTCACATTTTCAAAATGAGGAGGAGTGAAAGGGCTGGTTCTTCAGATATTTTCAACACGCTCGACAACGTCCAAGTTGACATTTTCATATGCAAATGAAACACCACGCGAGCATCCTTCACCCCAGCCCTACAAATTACAAGTTCACCCCACAGATCTACTTTTAAGAGCAAGAAAATGAGTCTCCCCTGCAGTTTCCAAGCTTGTTTGGATGTCCTACACGTGGTATTTCAGGATCACTTTGAACTTGGGCTTTAATATCTGCCCTAGCTTTTAGAAACATCATGAAAGCAAATTATTTTACTTCTGGAGCACTGCTTCCTTTATCGGTACCACAAAAGCTCTTTGCTGAGGCATGGCACAGCAGCGGTGTTCCTCTAACAAAGCCTGCAAAAGCCACACAGAGAAACCAGTCGTTCCCCAGTGTTCCCATTATGAAACACGCCAGCGCAAAGCATGTAACCACCACCAAAATAAAGGGGAGCATGAGGGTTTTCAATAAGCACACAGAGCGCAGAACAAGGCTATTAACGGACAGACTCTGTAGATGTATTGACAACTTACTCTCTGTCCTAAAACTTCTCACTCCAGCTGTTCCCAGGACAGCATTTTTCCACTCTAATCCCCCTCCACGAGGGAGAAAGACTTAAGTATCCAAAGACCAAGCACCAAGCTGCACTCTCAGAATCACCTGAACCGCCTGTACAGCATGCTAGAAAGTAAACTAGACCGCAAACAAGCTCCTGAAATTTGGCATTTCTCCATGCCAAAAAAATAACTCGCAAATGCAGTTACGACACAAGCAGAATTTGGTCAGATCTTGGCTTGCCATCTCATACCAAAATAATCTTTCTACAGGAAACACAAATATTCTCCCTCCAAAGATTTCCTTCTCCTCCTCCAGGTTTGTGAGGCTGGGCTCTTCAGCAGCGTTCCCACGTGCCATGGCCTACAGCAGATGTTCCTTGGAGAAAAGGCCGTTTGAACACATTAGGGAAAGCAGTTGCGGTGAAGATGTCTCAGGGCAAACCCCTTCGCACACATGCTCAGTGGCGTTTTGCGTTAATCCAGTCCCTCCTTACGGCATGACTGGGGCTATCAATGGACCAGTGTGTATTCAGTAGTAGTGGATGTCGAGAGGCATGACAAAGCACTTTGCTGTGCAGTTCCCCACCCCCAGAAAGCTGTTGGCAGCTTTGTTATTCCCTTCCCTCCTCCCTCACCCCCCCAGTCAACAATGTACTATTGATAGCTCTCTCCAACTTGCGGCCAAGGCATCAAGAAGCTGGATAATGAAGTGTAGTTGTGGGAAAAAGAAAAAAAAAAAAAAAAAAGAGAGAGGCTGTAGTTTTCATGCAAAGCAGTTCAAGACACTTCCCAGTTTTGCTTCCTCCGGCACATGCAGAAGTCAAAACAGGAGACCCCTTCAGCTGCTGAGCCCTGCCTGCGGCACGGGGGCTTCGCCTAGCCCAGACCCACATGCCACTGCTGTCCTCCCCCAAAATGTCGCAGCAGCAGCCAGCGAGGGTCCCGAGTAGGGTCCCGGGAGCAGCACACGCAGGGCAGCCATCAGGCAACACGGCGGAGCAAGTGTGTGCGGGGGGACATAGATTAAAAGAGGTTTTGCTTCTTCCAAATATGCGTTAGCACCCTGGGAAGAAGTTTGTGCAAGCACCCAACAAAGTCTGATCCCTCAGTGCATCCATACACGAGCAGCCCACTGCAACTCTGCTCTCTGAGGCCTGCTTACAGCTTAAAAATTCAGACTGCATTCCCTTCCAGCCTCTCTTCTCTTTCAAGAAGCTGCTTCCCAGCAGCTTGGCTGAGAGTAAGATGTATTTAGATCACCAAGGGCTTTTCACTGAAGAAACTCCCAAGCAAAAGCTTCTCGACTGAGTCCTGCCTGAAACAGGAGCTGGGAGCGAGCGTCCATTTTCAGCCAGCAGGTATAATTTTAACTCGCTAAGCTTCCAGCCATCTCAACCCCGCGCCCTGTCCCTGGGAAGTGCAAAGGACAACTCCTCAACTTTTGAACCCCGTCACGGCCACTCTCCAACACCACTCGCACCCAAAGCCCCAGGTCAGCGCTGCTTTCTGTCCACAACAACCAGCACCCCGGGGTCTAAAAGCTGCACGTTTCCTCGTTTTGGGGGTTTGATTTGCGCTGAACACAGACCGGATGGAAGATCCGTGCAGCTCCCTTGACATTACAGAAATGAAGGGGGTTTGTTTGTTTGCTTTTTTTTGCCCCTTTTCAAAACAGGCTCTGCAGATACGGCTGCACCTAGCCCATAATAACAAGACATGCTGTCAGCCACCTCAAGTCACGTATTAAGGAACCTGATTTAAGGCACAACGTGTCAATAGCCACCTAAAGAACACAGCAGAGCTCAGGTCTGGCCCACACGCAGCGGCCAAGAAACACGGCTGGTGGATCCGCATCCTCCGGGCGCTTATCTACGGCAGAGGCTCAGGAAACGACAGGTTCTGGGCTCTCAGCAAGGAACAGACACACCGGATAACCTGGTCAGCTGAGAAAAACACCCACAGGCCCCCTAAATTCACGCTTGCTGACACCCAGCC